TCTCTCTCTCACACACACACACACACACACACACACACACACACACACACACAAAGGGGGTCCAAAATCCCCCGACAGGTGAGTGCGCTGGGGGGGGGGCGGCCCCCAACCGGGTGCCCTGCCCGGCCAGCCGCCCGGGACCTCCCCCGGGCCCCTGCCGGTCACCCGGGCGGCCCGGATCCCCACTCAGTTTATTAAACTATTTGTTTATTTTTCTTGCTGAGTCAATTGTCAGGTTCATCTTTTTCTGGCCTGTTTTTCTATGTGCCCAGTGTGTCATTTCAGACTTTTTCTCAGAGTCCGAACAGGCCTGCGCCTGTTCGGACCTGAGGACCACATTCAGGTCCAGGTAGGCCAGGTTCATGTCTGTAGTGGGGGAGGTCCTGCTGAATCAGCAGGACCACCTGGACGTCCAGTAGGGACCCATGGAGGCCGTTTTGAGGCCAGGCCTGCGATCAGGCAAGGGCTGTTCAGTCAGGGGCCAGCCCGCCGGACCAGGTCATTGAGTAGGGTGCAAGTAGTTTAGTTCATTTTTATTCAATCTCGTATATGTCTGAGGATCCTTTTGTGCCTCAATTTATGTGCTATTTATTTATTTTTACTTTTTTTATTCTCATGTTAGTTACCGGGGGATAACTTGATTCAAATGTTTTTAGGATGGGAAGAGTAGGTCTCGCACATATTTGTTAATTTTACCTGCTCACCACAGCTCGTTCATCTTCCAGCGACCTGCAGCACAGAGAGACACATCAGCCAGTCAGTTTGTGGCAGCGGCATTCTGCAGGTGAGACAAGCGACAGAGGAGGGGCTGTTCCTTCTTCTTCTTCTTCCTGTCTCCGCCCTTCATATCCTTCCTTCTTCCTCTTCTTCTTCTTCTCCTTCTTCTTCTTCTTCTGAGAGAGAGAGAGAGAGAGGTTACAGACAGAGGCTATTTCGGGCTCTGGTGCCCAGGATCTGATTCGACAATTGCAGGAGCAGACATTGGTTGGACATTTGACAGGGATACTATTTTTGGACAGCGTTGTGGCGACTCTGGTCTACTCCCTCGCCTCCATCTTTATCTTGCTCCTCCTTCCTCCCTTCATTGGCGGTACACCCCCATGTGTGTATGCAAGGAGGGACCTTTCTTCCTGTGTGTGGTCCCTCCTCTTCTCTCACAGGTGTGTGTTTGATGATGGGATGAGTCGGGTTTCGATCCAGTGAGTCACGTCATGATTTTGAGTCTTCCGTTGCTACATTGTCGTATTTTGTGATTATATGTTCTCAGTTCTTTTTCTTGTTGATGCATTGTGAGACTGAGTCCTTATCATCACTCTGCTGGTCCCTTGGCTCCATCGCATGACTCTGACTGATCCGAGTATGCATCACCTTGGTAGTGCCCAGCAGGGGCCGCCCGTATGCAATTGACCCGCTGGGCCCCAGGCATTTAAAAGTAATTGCCGGGGCAATAAGGTAATCGCCCAGGCATATGGAAGGTGGTGGAAGCTGTTCAGAAGCTTCCGGTACTTGGATGAGGGACCTCTCAATGAAGCAACGCTTGACAAAAGAAATAGAGGTGGTTGCTGAGGGACTCTTTTGTACTTCAGAGGATTGCTGCCTACGTGCACCAAAATTAGCGCAGTAGAAGCTGGCTGGGTCTGGTGCGTTGACAACAGAAGGGGTTATCTGCCACGGTACAGCAGCTCTACCAGTGGCAGCCATAGCTGCACTGGATGCGAGAGGGGTGTACAGGTACTGGGAGGACAATGGAAGAGAGTACAGCAATTAGAACGTGGACTTACCTGACAATGGGTGGAGAGCACACTCGGCATGGTCAGCCTGCACAACATCGTGAGGAAGAAGGAGATGTGGACACAGAGAGAAGAGAGTAAGAGAGAGAGAGAGAGAGGAAGTAGGACAGTATGTTGAGTAAGTAGGGAAGTAGTATAAGAGGCCACACCATAGAAGGGCATTGGACTGCTTATGTATTTGATAACTGGAGGCCTGAAGTTGGGCTTTATATGTCAAGAGACTTCAATGCATGTGTGTTCTCAATTGGTGTGATTTTGGCTTTGTAAATCTGCTTTCGACTTTTGTAGGCTTGTTCTACTTTGGTGTCTCTCACTGCTATGAAAACTTGTGTTATCATTGCATTCCGTGCATAAGCAAACTTGAAAGGGATTTTCGAGAGTGTGTGCATCCCATAAACACTGTTTCTAAGCAGAGAATGTAAAATATTGCAGTAAGAGTTAGTTTGTTAAGGAAGAGTTGGGGAACAGTGCTTGGGCATTAGTGATTCAATTATCGTTTGAATAAATTTTTGAATGTGCATAGTTCGGGCATATTGAAGTCTGACTTCCAATCTTTGTTATTTTGTTATATGCTTTCTCTTTGCATGTTTATTGTGCATGAACCAGGTCCACTTCTTTCGACCTGTTCCAAAGGAGTATTTGCATAGTGCTGAGTTGAGAGATATTATGCAGTTTGGAAGCAGCAGCACGGCTGTCTTTTTCAAGATGCGAGTGGCAGGAGTCCTCCACATCTTCCAGTTTGAGACGAAGCAGGTTTTCTCACCTTAATGCCTGCCTCCTTTTTACTTTATTGCCACATTTATGTAAACTTTTCCCCAAGTTAGAGTGAAGAAGGGCTTTATATGGATTTGCGACTACGTTGTAAAGATTGCAAGAGCATTGCCCTGTTTATGCAGAGGTATATGTTCAAAACACTAGAGCTGTCAGCCATCTCTTGTCCCAAATGGTGCAGAAATCATGGCTGTTTTCTACAGCACAAGAGGTTCTAGGAGTACCTTGCCGCGTGGTTTGTAGTTGAAGAAACAGGTCCCAGGTGAGGTAAGAGGTCAAAGGCTTGCTCTGTTGGATAAGCCCTTGCCCATGGTCCTAAACTCCCAACTCAGGACTTGACAAGAATCCACACAATGGGATGCTTTGTAACCCCCAGGGGCAGCTCGATTACTGACCACGATCGTATGCAATTGATCAGTTGTGAATGTATGCCATCCTTGTGCTTACTGGGCCACCTACAACTTCATAAAATTCTTGCTTCTTGGAAAATACAAAAGGTATACATTCACTCTTAGACTTACCAAAATCGGATACGTAGGAAAAAGTTCCTATCGCTTCAACAATGCATTACTAACCAACCAGAGCTTCCAAACCGAACTAGCAAGAATGCTAAACTTTCATACAGAAATAAAACAAAATGAGGACATTTTCTACAAATTCCCTGAAATATTAAAGAATATTAGCATCGACACCTCAGTAGAAGACTGGCAGCACAAAGGAAAGAGAGAGTAGAATCGCTAAGAAACTCAATTGAAATAGCCGAAATAAATCTCCAAGAGATACCAACTCAGAGTTTTATGCTGATTTATACTCCAAAGCAAAGGAAGAGCTCGCAGAATGGACTAAACTAAAAGCCAGAGTGAAAGACTGGGAATTAAATGAGAAAATGATGAAATTCTTCTTCCAAAAAATCAAATCTAACTCTAGGAATTCCAAGATTGAAAGCTTACTAAACGAGCATGGTAACCCCACCTTAGAAACAACTCAATTGGTCAACATAGCTACCATTGTTTACAGAAACCTTTACAGTAGTAAAACCTCAACAGACAGACCAAACGAAACACGAAGGGCCAGAGCAAAATTCCTAACACATCTAGACCAAGCACTATCTAAGGAAACAGCAAGCTCGCTAGAAAAACCTATCACATTGGAAGAACTACACACAGCACTCAAGGACCTAAAAGCTAACAAGGCCCCAGGCAGAGATGGTCTCTCAAAGGAATTCTGGTTGGCAAGTTGACACAAACTAGGCCCGCTCTTCCTAGCCTTCCTCAACAGAGCTTGGGAAGAAGAGTCACTCGGACCAGAACTCAGTACGGGGGTGGTGACCCTCCTCTACAAGAAAGGTCGTAAAGAGGACATCAGAAACTATAGGCCTATATCTCTACAAAACGTCTCCTACAAAATCCTAGCCAAGCTCCCAGCCTCTCGAATTAATCGGATCACAGGAGGATGCTTCCACCAACACCAAACAGGTTTCATCCCGGGCAGACTCACCCTAGATAACGTAATGGCCCTCAGCGAGTCCACCAGAATAATAAATAAAAAAAAGATCACAGCAGCAATCCTTTTCTTCGACTTTGAAAAAGCATACGATCAAGTCAATTGGCACGTTCTCTAGGACTCAATGAAAAGGATGGGAGTTGGTCCGATCTTCAGAAAATGGGTAAAGATCATGTACAACGATGCACAAGTAGTAGTACAAATCAATGGATTTCTCTCCAACCCCTATTAAATGACGAGATCAGTACGACAAGGCGACCCACTAGCTGCCCCAATCTTTTTGTTCGTAATGGAAGCTATAGCAGCCTTCTTGAGAAAAAATCCATCTATAGAGAGACTAATCAACATCAAAGACGAAAGCGGGCAACCCCTTCAAATCCCCACCACCTTCCTTCAAATCCCAACCACAAGCTCACACACACAACCAAGACCGCAGAGAAGAGGAAGAGAGCCCAGCACACCCCAGCAGGCCATGAAGCACCAAGCAACCTCCCACAGGCATAACCAGGTCACACGGCACTTACCTGTGAGGCCCGGCCTCCGGAGATGGATAACAACTCACCCCCCTCTCTCATAAGTCCTCCTGACCCCTAGCTACCACTACACGAAGTGTCCTAGGATCCCCCGTCGATGTCTGAAGACCAAAGTAGCAACTTGCAGCTCTTCGATGCAGATATGGCAGCCTCTGATCAAGTCTCCCTCTTGAGGGGAAGCCCAAAAGTCACTCAATGTCTTCTTGAAGTGCAGATTCCAGGTGCGAGTACCTCTCACTCTCTACTCCCTCTCGCTTACTCCAATCAGCGTCCTGTGTGTCTCGCCACCCCATCCAATCACACAAGCAACCTAGTCAGGTCTAATGTCGACCCTACATGATCTAACCAGGTTGGGGCAGTATCCACATACCTCACTGCCCCTCTTAACCCTAACTTCCCAACCCTAATCCGAGATTAGGTTAGCCCTAACCTAATTCGGAATTAGGTTTAGGGTGACTGACACCTCTCGCCAGCAAGTAAGTCCGCTCCGATACCAATTGTTACGATCCTGGTCATTCCCAAAGTGCAAATTCACAATGAAAGACAATGCCACCCAATTGCGAAAGAAATGAAAGCACATGCAAAGAGATAGAGACTAGAGACGAGGGAAAGAAGAAGAAGAAGAAGAAGAAGAAGATGTACACCAGCAAGACCAATGACAAATCCCCCTTCTCTCTCCACCTTCCTCCTCCTCCTTAACTTCTCCAGTCTTATTCTTCTTCCCCATAATAATAATAACAATGAGTGGATGAACCAGAATCAATATCCGAAGTTCCCTCTTACGACTGACACAACAACAACAACAGCAGGTCCACCATAGCTATGGCTTCCCCACTTCTTCCACCTCTCACAAGCCTAGGCTATGGTGGACAACTGAGTGCTCTGCCCCTCCCTGTGCAAAGGACAACACAAAGCAGCTATGGCGCTGCACTCCTGTCCAAAGGACAACCCAAAGCAGCTATGCCGCTGCTGACTAAGCCGCCATGCCTGACTCTGCCTCGAGCTTCCTTGGTGCGGCACTACCCCAACTGGGGCCTTCCGGATGCAGCGCCCAACAAGGTGATGAAGATGGTGTCCACCATAGCCAGGTAGGTACCTCGCCACTCTCCTCCTTCGCCCCCTTCTTCCAGCCAGCTCTGGTGTCCACCATAGCCAGGTAGGTACCTCGCCATAGCCAGGCTGAGCGCCCAGCTGCCCTTCACCTCCAGGGAGCGCTGTACCAGTCCAGCGCTTGGCTCAGCAGCATGTCGCCAATCCTTGCACACCGCAAATGAGGAGGAGCTACTTGCTCCTCCGGAAGATATAGCCGCCTACTGGCCTCTTGGGCGGTGACTTCCTAGGCCAAGCGGCCTCCCGGCAACTGGTACCTCCTCCCTTTCGGAGGGAACATCATTGCAGGCTCTGCTATCGTCCGGACAGGCCCTAGACCCGGGCTACTTGGACTGGTACCAGCCTACCTGTAACCTACCGCTACTGGGCCTCTAAAAATGCCAACTTTTTGTCTTCTTCTGCTCAGCCTCCAGTACCTAACACTTCTACCACTACTTGAGTGGTACCGGCCTACCTGCTACTTGAGTGTTTTTTCCCCGCTGCTCTAAGTGTCGTGGGCCTACCCCCGCTGCTTGAGTGTTTTCCCCGCTGCAACCCTCAAAGTCACGGCCACATGTAAGTACCGGCCCTGCGGCTCCTTTCAACCAACAAGTACCCTTGCGGGTCACACACACACTCAACCGACAAGCACTCAGACAGACATGCAAACCGACAGGCACGCACACACACACAAACATGGAAACCACAACAAAATGCGGGAATCTCAGCAATGCATTCATTCCAGCGGCAAATCCTAGAAATCAGCAGTGTTCTCAGTCTGTGTTTCTGGCGGGTCATTACACTACCCCCCTCTCAAGAGTGAGGTCCCTTCGAGTGAGTAACTCATTCAAAGTCGGCACAACATGCATCGTAGGCGTAGATCAGAAAGAGAGATTTAGTAAGACCGTGAGGAGTGAGTTTTGCAGAAAACTTAGCAGTCTGTCCATCAGTGATTTGTCGTTCATAAGCGTTAACAACACGTGGAGCATTCTTTAGCAGCTCTTTTCGGTCGATCCAAAAAAACTCGTTCAACGGGTGATAGAGGAAGTGAACGTTGTATTGTCTGTTCCTCCCTCTTCCTTCATGGGAAACAATTTTGTCTATCTCATCATGGCCACCGTCGATAGGACGAGGTATCATAGGATCTCGGAAGGGAAAAGTCTCGTCATCGATATGTGGAAACAGTTTGGACGCGTGGAAGACCGGATATGTGCGCAGATGAGGAGGTACGTCAATCACATATGAAGGACCAAAATCATCCCCAATCATCTTTAGAACCTGCCAAGGGCCATAGTACAATGGAAGAAGCTTTCGTGATACGCCCTCAACATTTTGACCCCTCAACATTTTGACCCAGACATAACTCCCTACTTTCCCTTCTTTGCACGACTTGTTGGCATGTTTGATCATGGCATGCTGACGCTTGTTCATTGCGGCTATAGCAGATTTGAGCAGACGTGCATACTTGGCATTGTAGCCAGGCATGCCGGGCGTCAGACCAGGGGACCGTTCGGGGAATAAATAGGAGAGAGGATTGCGCAGCTGCCAACCATATTGCAGCTGATTCGGTGTCACGCCAGTTTCAGAGTGAATGTAGTTGTTGTACAACCCCTTCACTTTGTGTAACTCCTTGTCCCACGTGTTCTGATCTCGAACAATTAACGCGCGCAGTAATTGAATGACAATGTGGTTGATTTCCTTGGCCAATCCATTGGCTTCGGGGTGTCGACCAGAAGTCTTGTTGAGTTTAATGTCGTAGATCTGCGAAGTGAAGTCCTTCCAATCAGCACTAATGAACCTGGTGTTCCGATCACTCACAAGAGTTTTCGGGGGTCCATACTGTAGAATGTACTGCTG